CTTAACAATAGTCTTTATGTTGTCATAAAGTTCAGTAAACAGATGATATGAAGCTGCTGCACACAGAGTTTCTGGGATCAGCTGACCTGCATCCAGAACATGATTTGTATAACTGTGGGTCGAACAGCAGGACAGGTCCTGAAGAAAACCAGTTAAGAAATTGAGAAGCTAAACGACATTACATTTTAAACCTTAATAAAAAATCGATACAGGGCTTTCGGGAAATGAAATATCACGATATTTCAGTGTATCGATATTTTCTTACACCCCTAAAAGAAACGAGGGCTGGATGAAGACTTTTGCACAGAAGGTTGAGAGGAGTTTGTTGTTTTCAGGTTTGGAGACAGCTCCCTGCAGGAGAGGCTGAACCAGCAGAGCTGTGAGCGTCTCAGAGCTTACTGCTCCTCACTGACACACACGCTCCCTCACACCGGTAAGAACCACTCACCCGCTTCTGTCGGACTCTGGACCGGTTCTCTTTGTTCTGGTTGTGTCAGTTTTTGGCTACGTTCACACTGCAGGTCTTAATGCTCAATTCTGATTTTTTGTCAGAATCTTTTTGTGTGAACGTTCAGATTACATTTTAAATGTGACGTCCATCAGACCCCTGTGTGAACGCTACACAGCACCGATGTGACACGCATGCTCAGTAAAGACGTCCCGTCTCATTCAGCCGGCTTGTTTTTTTTTTACAGAGTTAGCTTGGATGCTACTTTTTGCATGTCGAATCTGAAGTTGTTGTTTAATCAGAGCCGATTAAATAATTATCTGATGCAGAGGCGATTGCTCTAAGACTGCGAGGGAAGCTCAGCTTCCTCTAAAATGTCAAAAAAAAGATCAAATATAAACTGTTGTGTGTTCATGTCATTGACTAAATATGCGCCACATCGCGCTCAACTTTTGTTCAGAATCAGCTTCTTATCACTGGTAACGACGCAGCTTTCCACTCCCTCATTCCCACAGCTTCACAGAGCTTTAAACAGTCGGACGCTGAGCGTCCACAGAGCTCATTAATGATGCAAAGACTGCAGCGAAACGAGACGAGTCATTGGATAAATGCTGGTTTTGTCCCGCCCATCGATGGGCGGGACAAAACAAAATAAACAAATAATAAACAAAATAAACAAAATAAAACAACACATTTTAAAGGTAGGCTGAAATTAAGCCTCCCCTTCTTGAAAGACCAGCATCCGCCACTGATCTGACCTGCTTGTTTAGTTCAGTGTTTATATCTGAACCTGTCTCTGACCGGATGCTCCAATGAAGCATTTTATTTTTGAACGAAGCAACGAGCTGTAAAAAAAAGTATCGACCGAGTAACTTTAGGATCGATACACTCCGCGACCCAGACTGGACATCGTTATTATCATACTATCTACCGTATTTTTCGGACTATAAGCCGCACTCGCCATTTAAAAAAAAAAAAAAACGCGCGAACATCAACATATAAGCCGCACCTGACCATAAGCCGCACCCCCCACCCCCATCAGTAAAAACAAAAACAAAACAGTACACCCAAAATTGTGGTCAAAAAAGTGAATTCAACATCACATTTATTTTTAAGTAAAAGGTTGGCAAGTTCACCGGTACAAAAAATAAATAAAATTAGAGACATGGATCT